CACACACACACACACACACACTCTCTCTCTCTCTCTCTCTCACACACACACACACACACTCTCTCACACACACACACTCTCTCTCTCTCACACACACACACACCTCTGTGATCGTGGGTCTTTTGTTTTTCTTCTCACAGAGACACCGAGACGCCACATCATACATCCGCTCCCCCTCCTCCATCCGCCATCCCTGCATCTTCCCATCAATGAAGTCCTCCAGAGAGAGCTCCTCGTCATCGATCTCGTCCTTCATCTCCATCTGAAACACACACAGAGCTCAGACTCAGACTCTGGGACGCACCTGGACACTTTGTCACTGGAGCTTCACCGACCAGCAGTTTGGGATCACGGCTTTCATCGACCGGAGGAAGACCAGACAGGATCTCCAGCAACACCTGCACAATAAACCAACACACAGCGTCACTGTGAGGAACTGCACAGACGTCTGAACTAGGGGTGTGTGACACTGACAAAAAAAATAATAGCTCAATATTTTCTGGGATTTTATTGATAACGATAATTAGCTGATATTTTGCTGAGTGTGTTATTGTGCTGATAGACTGCCATAGACAGCTGACTCCTAAAGTTTTGATATTCTTCATATTCTGTGTGGTGATAGTTCACCGCAGTGATAGAAATTAATAATTTCCAATAAGATTAAATTGATTTTTACAGTTTAATGGGCATTTTTACCTTTATAAAGTCTTTATACCTTTATCTTGAATTTGTGATCATTCTAAATGTATTTTAATAGACTGAATCATGCAGTGAAATACTCGATAATGTCAAATCACACATCGTTAAAACAATTACGATATTATCACAGACGATATATCGCACACCCCTAGTCTGAACATGAATAACTGCTGAATGCTAGCAGGACGGACCACGCCGAAGCTGAAGACGTCAGATTTAGGAGTGATTTCTCCTCGCAGGGCCTCCGGCGCCATGTAGGCCGTCGTACCCACAATCCTCCCCGTCATGACCGTCGAGCACGAGTGATTGGCTGAGGCGCGCGTCAAACCGAAGTCAGAGATCTTCGGAACGAAGTCCTCATCCAATAAGATGTTCCCGCTGTTAAACAGATGGAATAATGCTTTAGAGATCTGTGAATAGCAGGTCATGTGACACATCTGGGTTGATCACTGAAAGGTTGTAGGTTAGCCATTAAAAAAAAAAATCAAAGACAAACACCATTCAGATGTTTTATATATATACACACACACACACACACACACACACACACACACACACACACACACATATATATATACACACACAGACATACACACACAGACAAGACGCACACACTGTCACACACACACACAGACACACACTCACAGACACACACTCACACAGACAGACACACACACTCACACAGACGCACGCACACACACACACACACACACACACCAATCCATTGAAGTCAGTACTGGTGATAAAATTAAATTTTTAAAATATTGATAAAATATGCATCAAACTGATTTTTGCTGTAGTTCTTGTACAAGATTTAAATTTGAAAATGTCTCAATTTTTAAATGAATAAAAAGTGGTTAAATGTTGTAATAACATGGTAAAACCTGTTAACATTAAAAATGTGCACATTTACTCAAAAGATACGTTACTCATTAATGAATAAACTCAAGTCAAAATAATTTTGTAAATTACTTTTTATTGTAAATCCCATTTTTTCATGCAGCTCAAACACGCAGCTGCTCAAAACGTCAGTATTTTTTAAAAATATTTTACGAGCATTTTAAACCTCGTACATGTGCAAATCTGTAAAAAAAAAAATATAAAGAAATGAAAATTAGGACTTTCTATTTGCTTTTAAACTGTAAACGCTTTTCACTAAGCTGTTTTTCCAATTTTTCAAGTTCTACATTTTCTCCTTAGCTCCATGTTGCAGTACGTTTTAGGAGCTAATTTTTAGTCCATGTCCTATCCTGAGAAGTCTGTCTTGCAGAGACTGACAAAAATGAGCTCCTAAAACTTACTGGCAGATTCTGGAAGATCAATTCTTCAGACAGTGGTACGAGAGGATGTGGTGCTGGTCCTTCAAGAGTCACTCTCAACTTACCTTTCTATAAAGCCTATAAAAATAGTCTTCATGTATTTCACAACACTTCAGCATGTTATTCTTATTAAGTAGGGGTCATTTTTTAGGATTGTTTACTCATGCAAAGTCTCTGAGAACCTGACACCTTGTACTTCTGGAGACTGCAGGAAGGTTGCAGTTCTGGAAAATAGTGGCACTGGAGACTAAAAGGTTCCTGATGGTTTCACACTTAATTCTTCACATAAATTATTCATTATTTTGCAGTTAACATGCTCTTTTCTTCTCCACCTGTTTTTTT